CAGCCACTTTTGGCCTTCACACGTGCAACTACCAAATGTACCATCTACCCAAAAAAATCTTGCATTTTGTCTTGAATTGTGTGCTGCTGAGTGTATTTTTCTTCTTTTGTTGTTTGTCAAAACAAATGGGCTGTACCCAATTTTTGACTCAACACAGTCTATGTTATGGAATTTTGGTTCTTGTGAAAAAAATTGAGAGAAACTTGTTTGCGACCATGAAAAAAAAAAAGCTCTGGAACATGCGATCAACAAGTAGAAGATAAAATTAATTGTTTCAAATTAAGGGTGTATTAGTAATTCATACATTTTATCTTATATCTTATCTAGCAAAACAAATTGTGTAACACAAAAACTAACAAAATCCTATCTTGGACTAATCCTTGATAACAAACATAAATATTATATCATCTCAACAGTACAATATTATCTCATATGATAACAATTATCTAATCTCATCCACTTTAATAAACGAGCTCCTTTTCCGCCGGAGCTAAAGGTTCTGGCATTTTGGATGATTTTTTCGACCATTAGGGTTAATATTGTCAATCAATTTTAGTAAAAGTACATCCCTTAATTATAATAGGGTGTTACTAACCACCGTCCCATGATACAACGTATTGCCTCCTCCTAGTACCATTTGCCTTTGACATTTTCTTAAAAACTTCAAAAAATTGTATATTCTCTGAAAGCAGGTGATTTTCGGTGAAAATATTTCCGACGACGAGATATGATTTTTCATCGGCCAGAGATTGCGGCCGCTCGCAGCACCGGCTGCCTAGCCTGGCCGGCCATAACCATTGGCGGCAGCCATATGCAGTCGGCCATGACCATGACCTGCCAGCTTATCTGGTTGGCCGGTACCACCCGCGACCGCAATCTCTTGTCGATCAGTGGTTTTTTTTTTAGTTAGTTAATTTATATTTATTAATATGTTAGTAGAAATTTTATGTTAATAATTATAATTGATTATCTTATAAACTAGAATTTACTATTATTATATTACAACTTATAATTTTTTATATTTTAAATTAGAATTGATTATCTTATAAATTAAAATTTATTTTTATTATTTTGTCATAAATTAGAATTGATTATTTTGTAAAATTATTAACAACTTAATATTTGGCATGTGTCATTCCAAGATTTTAAAGGAAAGATTTTAAAGGGGACAATATTGATTACATTTTTTTTTTTTTTTTTTGTTCATTACGGATGAAGTTATTTTACAATTATTATTATTGGTATTTCTAAATAGAAGGCTAGAAGCTTGTTATGTGGTGGGCCGTAGGGTCCACTAACTGCAGTAAGGGCCTGATGCAGATATGTGGCGCGCAGTTCTCGCATTTATGTCTGGCTAAAGCCCAAAATGTTAAATCAGCATATTCTTTGGAATCTAATTTTATCCTCCATGCACCTCACAACAAAATATACAACTACCTATACCTTTGCAGTATATTAAACTTTAAGATGAAGAAATATACTAGAAATTTGATTAGTATTATATTAGATTTAGCCAAAAACATTGCAAATCAAGAGTTAAGACCAACTATTAAAACTGGAAAGGTAGAGACCAACCATTAAAACAGGAAAAGGTCGAGTTAGAGGTCGATATTGAGTCTTTAACAAGTCGAATAGAGACCAACTCATTAACTAAATGAGTCACAAATGAGCCTAAGTTTAATTTATTTATCAGTATTAACGAGTCAAATTCAAATCTTAATAAGTCAAACTTAGCTATTAATAACTTACATAAAAAAAAGCCCCATATCTTCGAATCGTGACAAGTTTAACTTAACATGTTACCTAAATGGGTTTTAAACAAACTTATACTCAACTTGTTTATCAAACGAGTCTAGCCGAGCCATAACGAGTTATGACTTTTGTTATGATACTAGAGCTCGAACTCGAACCCTAAATTTTGGCTAAATGAGTTCAAATTTGTCTTATTTATCAATATGAAATTAAGTCAAATTTAAACTTTAATGAGTAGGAATAAGTTAATAATTAAAAAAATACGTAAATATTCATATGCTCGAATCGAACGAGCCTTGGCGGGTCGTTAGGCCATACACAACATTAATAATAGTCCAAAATAAATAAATAAGTAAAAAAAATAAACTAAGCACTCAATCACACATTTTTGCTATGAAGTCAACCATTGATTTCATAGTAGAGTCAACTTTCTTTATACAACAAGTAAACTATATCATATTCTCTGATTATTTATATAAATACTAATAATTTTATTAATATTGTTTCATTTACCTGTTGTACGTAGAACGTTAGCTCGACTATGAAGTCAATTGTTAAATTTTTTAGCAAAAATGCTCAATAGCATATACCATCTCTCCATCTATTGGGGTGGCTTCGACATTTCATTTCATCACATCGTCATCTTCTATCTCTATAAATCAAACTCTCAGAAAAACAAGATTCAAATTGCAAAACACAACGTTTTCATCTCAATCCCCTAAACCAGAAAGTAGCTTAATTTGTGTCTGTCGAAAAGAAGAACGATGACGAAGCTCCAGCAACAGCAGCAGGGCACGCAGGAGGAGACCGGCGGCGGGGATGGCGGGCCCCGCACAGTCACGGTGGTGTCGAAGTCGTCGGAGCATCCGCCGCCGCGGCAGCTCAGTCTGTCGTTCCGCGGTGAGAGCTTCCGTGAGGAGGGCGCCGCCGCCGCAACCGTCGGAGAGCTCTTTACCCCGCCCCTCAACTTCGCGATGGTGGATTACGGCGTTTTCCGGTCTGGCTTCCCGGATTCCGACAACTTTCGGTTTCTTGAAACCCTCAATCTCCGGTCCATCATGTGAGACCCCTCTATCCCTCTCTCTCTGAAAAACAAATTGATATGTTTATGCTTTGTATTATCAGATTCTTGCTGGGAAAAATGGAAGCTTGATGATAAAAGAACTGAAGATAGTGAAAAAATGTACCTTTTTTTATGATTTTTTTTTTTTTTTTTCAGAGGAGAATGACTTTTGGACAGGGATTTTATTGCTGTTTTGCATATGTAGTGAAAATTTATTGTGTGTTTGTGATTGTGTGAGAAGGGTGAATAAGAACATGATCTAGGTATTGTTTCGATCGATTTTCGGATTTTTATGCTGTGTTTTTCTCTATATTGTGTAGATACTTGTGTCCGGAGCCATACCCGGATGCTAACGTTGAGTTTCTCGAATCAAATGGGATTCGGTTGTTCCAATTTGGGATCGAGGGATATAAGGTAGTAAGTACCAAAGGTTCATCATTTTCCTTAATCCCTCCGACTCATAAAGTATAATGTTTTTTTTCGTAATAATGCTCATCATTTTTTTGTAATTTTGTTTATGTTGTTTTTTAGAGCATGACATTTCAGTTTGAAAGCAAGCATATCGGTTCAAATTTTCTGCCTAACCATTGACTTATTGTGTTTCTTGATTCTTAATTTACTTTGGTACATTGGATTGAATTTGAGTGTCGTGATATGAACTTTTTAGCTGCATAATTTGAGGTCTTTGTTGGCCGTGTATTGTCTTTCGATTTGCATACAATTCGGCTAGTTGTTTTGGTAAATCAAGACGTGAAAACTATAACATCTATTATTGTTTGAGCCTCCCTTGAGGTTGATCATTGTTACCGGTGAAATCATTCATCTCGTGCATAGTTGTATTTCTCTATCTAAAACTAAAAGCATGATAATACCACACTCCTCCCACCAAATATAGTGCGATCGGCTTGACTAAATATAGCAAGAATCTTAAAATGCGGATTGGAAATTGAAAAGATGGAAGTCTTTGATTATTCATAAGAGTTGGGGAGAGTTTCATGACATGATAAAATTGCACGAGATTAATTGGAAGTCCACTCTGTTATTTATTGCGAAAAAATTGTACCACTGGATTAAGTTCATTAGGTAAGAGCACCAAAATCTGATCGGTTGAAACGAGAAAGTCGATTTCCTTGGTTTCTTGTAGAACAATTCAGTTTAGTGTTTCGGAAAGTTTAGTTTAGTTTTTTTTTTTTTTTTCCACCATTGTTATGATTGAGTTTTATTCGAGTGCTTCAAGTCGAGATAAGTTTTTCCCGTTTTGCTTTCTTTATTTTGTCGAGGAGTTGAATATGGTTTTTCGTATTAGAGGGCTGTTTAACTTTGAAGGGATGAAAATCCTTAACAAAGTAGTCAAAATTTTGAATTCAAGATGCCATGTGTTCAAATTTGTATGCTTTCTCCTATACATATGTAAAATTCTCCACAGCATTCTTATAAATCTAATTATCGATCTTTTTTTTTAGGAACCGTTTGTAAACATACCAGAGGATAAAATACGGGAAGCGCTGAAAATCACCATTGGTATATGTTCACTTCTTTATTCCTATGAGAAGATCACATAATCCAATCTTTGCTCATGAAATTGTTCGAGAATTACATTTTATATTTCAATATTCGTAACTCGATTTTTCTCGAAATTTTAGATGCCAAGAACCGCCCTTTGCTGATTCACTGCAAACGAGGCAAGGTACATACACATCCATTCATCCTCCATAAACTCGATTCCTGATTAAATCACTCTCTCTCGTAATAACTAATACACGTTCATTTTCTTGCTCGTTTAAGCACCGTACGGGCTGCCTTGTCGGGTGCCTGAGGAAACTTCAGAATTGGTGTTTGACTTCCGTTTGTGACGAATACCAGCGATTTGCAGCGGCCAAAGCAAGAATTGCTGACCAGAGGTTTATCGAGCTGTTTGATGTCTCGTTTTTCAAGAGTTCGCCTGAGTCTTTTTCTGTTTTGAAGAGTTATTATTATCTTTAGTAAAAACCGAACAAAAAAGTCGATCTTGATTATTTATTCTCCATGTTATCGATTAAATAAAGGAGCACGGGAAGAAGAGAGGTTTGATTTAGATGAATATAATGAGGGTGTTTAGATTATTGGGATGTACTGAGGTGATTGATTATGTTAAATTCATGGTTATTCTTTCTAGTTATAAGGTTCCTATTTGCAGGAATCAGTAGTAAAGGTGTGTTTTGTGTAAGTTTGTGAGTTTTGTTTTGTATCCTTTGACAAAAATGTTGAGATGGTGGTCATTGATGAAAATTATTAGCTAGTTCCTATATTATTTTGGAATTTCATATCTCGGAGTTTAGTATGTTAAAAAAAATTTGAATCATTATTTTTATTTATAAAATGATAAGTATATAATAAGTGATACTTGATAAATTTATAATTTAATTTAAAAGTAATAATTTTATTATTTTATAATTAATATTGATATAATTTGAATTAAATTAAAATAAAACTTCATTTATTCTATATATGCAACATGGATATTGTTCATGATGATTAGTTTGATATATATAAAAAGTTTTGATAATATAATTAAATATTTAGATCGAAATACCAAAAATTGACATACCGAACTATGGAACAAATAACACATCGGTACATCTAGAATTATGGAGCGAGCAAATAACACATAGGTACATCTAGAATTATGGAGCTAAAAATTGATGCATCAAAATAACGAAGCTAGAACATACTCCCTCGTATTCTTTGGCATTATTGATCATTAATCAAATAAATGTCGTTTTGAACTTTTTATACATATTTTTCCGTTGCTACCCTCATTTAATTAATACACTATACGTTTTGGGAGGAAATTTGTAGAAAACAATGAATTTTGTTTCTTAAAACAACATAAAAAAAGAAAAAAAAAAAAGAATTTAATTAATGTTAATTTGCTATAAATAAGGCTAATATTGACAAGAAAAAATTTCTTAAATATGTGCTTAACGCAGAAAGCGGCATTTAAAAAGAATTAGAAGGGGGTATAAAATTACGTACTTACTTGACAATTAGGGATTGAAGCATAAATTTACACAGTAATGCTCCCCTACTCACGTTGGACACATGTTAATATGTCCGCCGCTTATATGGCATGCACACATTAGTGATATATTTTTTTGACATATTAACATGTACCCACTGTGGGTAGGTGAACATTATTCTGAATTGACATATGGAATTATGAAGTTAGAAATTGATAAATTGACATATCAAATTATGTCTACAAATTGACATATACAATTGTGTTTTGAATTGAAAAGGATAATTAAAAAGAAAATATGTCATTGTAATTAGACTTTCTAACGGAACGAAATGCTCCTATGCTCAACTCGATAAGGGTCGAAATAGGTTCTACTCTTTTCATAAAATAGCCAAGCTCGAGCATGCTTAAAGCTCGTTAAGTTAACGGGTTCGACTCGACTCAGCTCGATAAAGCTAGCAAAAAAAATAATTTATTTGTTTATAGTTCAATTCGTTAAATCTTTAGCTCGACCCATTAAGGTTTGAGTTCAACTCGTTAATATTGATAAATAAGTCGAGCTTGAACTGATTACTGAAACGTTAAGTTCACGAGCCAACCTATCTCGTAAACTAGCCGAACTTGAACTCGATTACTGGCGCGTTAAGTCAATGGGCCGACTCGGTTCTAATTGTAACCTATCTCACAAACGAGCCGAGCTTTATCTTATCTCGACTAGTTAGTTAACCAGCCGGCTCTGCCCTTGTAACCTGTCCCCAACATTATTTTTAAATTAACTTGTAACTAATTAAAGGGGTACGAAATACTAGTAAACCCTAAAACGAGCTTCAAAACCTGTTAGCTTGAAGCTCGACAAATGTCCATGATGCCACAAAGGCCCAAACCCTTATGTCAATTAGTCGCAATCGCGTCCAGCTTTCGATTCGCATCCTCAACAATGCGGTGGCTGATGAGGAGGTTTGCCCAATTGCGGCGATCGGAGATGGATCGAACACTTCGTTTGCTCCGTCTGAGTTAGCGTGGTCACGAGCTACGGAGGAGCGAGGTCACGAGCTGTTGAGCGAATTTACTGCGGCGGTTCGGTGGGGCGGAGGTTCTGGAGCTCAGGGACAATGTTGGTGTGCCTGATCTCAAGCCTTATGAGGTCCCCGTGCAAGCTCGTGCCGTCTCGGTCAATCCGCTCAACTGCAGGGTCAGTTTTCTGTATCGGCCCTTCATTGATTGTGAAGTTGTTTCAATCTGAGTTTGGGGAATTTTGAGGGTTTTTGTGATTTTTTTGGAGTGTGTCTCAGTTATGAGAGGAGTGTTTGCAGCTGTGGATTTTATGAAATTGGTGGTTGTTCTGTCTAATACATTGAATTTTACTTGTTAATTTTGTTTTGTTTTGAGCTGATATTGCTCGATGAATGTGGTGTTTTCTGGTCAATTTGAAGGTGGTTGGTGGCCGATAGATTGTAAATCGTAGCTGAAGTGATTAGGGTAAACCCATTTTTTTGAGTGACAGTAGTTTGGGAACTATCGTCCTATCGTTAGGAGCATAGACGTGAATTAATGCTATTCGATGGATTAATATTGGAAAAATCTGTTGACGTCGAGTTCAATCAAGATTTGCTGTTGAGCTCGGATGGTTTCCTTCTGAATTTTTTAATGAATGTATTTTGTCCGTAGAAAAATGGCATTTCCAGTCGAGTTTAGAAGTTTTATCCCAGGCAGAGTTGAAGTAGTGCAATAACTAAATGTGTAGAATTACTCAGGATGAAACTATCTATCTGCATTCATCGTATAAAGTATATAAGAATGCAACGTAATCGAATAGTTGTTATTCGGTGGTTCATGCATCCAATCTGCAGTCGCAAAAAGGTGGTTTCTCGATTTAATGAAAAACATCAGTATCTTGATTAATAAAGCGTTCCCGAGACTAACAAAAGAAATACCTGTCGAGACACTACCGAGAGTGTAAGCACATAGAAATCTGATAGTGATGCGTCTTTTCAATCTCCTGGAATATAGTGATCTTCTGCCGTTTTGATATTTGCAGTAATTTATGAGTCTAATATTGGCAGTTCTAAAATTGTGTAAATCTTTCTGAATATCATCTGATAAGATGTCATGAATGTGTAATGTCTTCAGTCATCGTTTAAGCTCATTGTTTTCAGATGCGCAAAAGGGTGCCAACAGAAGTACAAAGCCAGCTAAAAATGACCATTCAGCCCCAAACTCGAAAGCAGCGCCTGTCCATATACGTGAGCCATCGATGTCTTGATCAGCTTAATTATGCAATTATTAATGTGGTAAGTCTTCTATTAGATTCGCCTAATACTCGTTTCGCAAATTGATGTACTTCGGTTAGAAAATGTCATACTCTAAGATACTCTTAAAAAACATGAACAAAAGTATGCCATTTGATGGACTAAGTTTATATAATATATTTTTGTTCAATGAGTATGACGGGCCTGCCGCCGACCAACGATCAGGCTGTTTCACACAAGAATTTTTGTTATTTAATGGCACCTAAATCACAATTCTTTGCTGCATGAATTAGAGGCAAGCTGAAAAAATAATAAATAAAATGTTGGGAGAATCCTACAACAAGCAAAAGATTCCATGCACATAATTTCATAATAATAAAATAATTAAATCGATAATTTATTTTCCATGTGAAGAAGGACTATATGCAGGCTGGCCTAGATTTGTGTGCATAAATTTGTGATACTAGCATAAGAAAGTTGTCACAAACATGTGAAAAAAATACTCAATTCATACTCAAATCTAACTCAACTTTAATCCAATGCCAATATCCTCAATATCATCAATATAATTAAATAATATCAATCAATTATTCTTATACATCACATCAACTTTAATTCACCAACCATCCACTCACATAATTTTAACTAACTATTACTTCATATCATCTCTCCCATACTTTTGCATCAAATCAACATTAATTATTTTATTAAAATATTATTTTAATATAAACTCAAAATTTCATTAACAACAAATCATACCATATTTTTTTCAAATTAACCCTGGTTTAACAAAAAAGATCCGATTTGAGCGGATATATTTGTATTGGAAACCCTAGTTTAACAAAAACCCTAGTTTAAGAAGATACTGCATAATGGTTGTGTTTGTATACAAGTTTTTTCAATCACATTCAATTCATTCTTAAAAGTTAACTCAAGTCCACTATTCTCAATATTATCAATATAATTAAATTATACCAACCAATCATTTTTTACACATTACATCAAATTTAATCTACTATTCACCCATATAATTTGAACTAACTATCACTTCACATCATTTCTCTTCTACTTTTACATCAAATCAACTTTAATTATTTTATTTAAATATTGTTTTAATATAAAGTCAACTAACTAACTATATCATAATTTTAAAAATTAACCCTAGTTAATAAAAAAACTATATATTTGGATGCAAATACGCTCTTATGTATTGGGGTGAGAAAGGCTGCCCTATAAAAAAAACTCAAATTCTTGTGCAAGCTTCCTAATATTTTAACTCAACCATTTTCTTAAATCAACTTTAACTCAACCTCACTATTATCAATATTATCCATATAATTAGAATATTAATCAATCATTCATACACACCACATCAACCTTAATTCACTATTCATCCACTCACTATATTCAATTATAACTATTTTATTTTAAATTTTATTTTAATATACCCACTAACAATTAACCATACCACCTTTTTCAAAATTAACCAAACCGAACCAAACCAAGAAATTCAAATAAAACCAAAAAATTCTATGAACAAACATGCTGCAAATTGTTAGACAAATCGGTTAAAGGAATCAATCCTTTATATATTTTGAACAAAATAAAATTGTGTATTTAGTAGCACCAACCCTATCATTCCAAAAACCAATGGCATTTTGGCTCTTGCAATAGTCCTGCTTGATGATGTGACTAAAAAAAACATACATAGGAGAGTATAATCAGCTGGACAACAAGAGAACTGGTTACATTTTTAAAAGTTAGAACATATTCATTCCAAAATCTTTTTCTAACAATATACATTACCTTATAAAAGTTTTAATAGTTCATATTTATGCTACTTGTGCATATGTGTGTATTTAGTATTTACACACTCACTTAATTTTGGTACTTATTTACATTTTATAACTGCTTCTAGTATTCTATTTTAGTAACTTTAATAATTGGCCCCTTAAACATTTTCTACCTCTATCACCCACTAAGAGATTCCTACCCATTTTTTTTATAAATAGTATAAAAACTAACATCCCCTTGCTATTTTTTAATTGTCAAGATATGTCAAGTCAACTCTACAACTGTTTTAAGTTGCTGAAACAAGAAGAAAACTAAGTATGTAATGAAATGGCCAACTTGTCCTCTATAATTAAAATAATATTCACTTGTCAAAGTCTTGCTAAAAAAGTTGTTCAAAAACAACCACCTTTAAAATATAATAAATAATTTGACTTACAATAGTAAATATGAGATTAGTTGGCAAATTGACAAACCATTATGAATGCTTCTAGTTTTCTAAACACTACAAAAACTAAACAAAATACACACACACACAGTACAAATTTCAAGTAGAAGAAGAATAAGAAGAAATGGTGCTAGCATGGAAAGAAGAACACTTGGATCTTGTCCTAGTCCCAAGTGGTCTCATCATCATGCTTGGTTACCATCTCTTTCACCTTCACAAATGCCTTAATTGTCCCGAGACCACGGTCATCGGCTACGAAAATCATAACCGGCGCGCTTGGGTAGCACGAATCTTGCAGGTCAGCCTACTTACTTTTCTCGAGCAATCGACTAGCCAAAAATAGCTTTTTCTACTGACGATGATGACGAGCTTTCGCAGGTCGAGCCGAAGGAGAGAGGCCAAGCAATTTCCATCATAAGCTCCAACATATCTGCCGCCACGTCACTAGCCTCAATCTCCCTTGCGTTGAGCTCCCTTATTGGCGCGTGGATCGGGAGCTCGTACCACGATGAATACCTAACCAACGCGGTGTACGGAAACACGAGTCCCATGGTTGCCTACGTCAAGTACGTGTCTCTACTCGCGTGCTTCATGGTAGCCTTCGTGTGTTTTGTCCAAACGGCTAGGAGTTTCGTGCACGCCAATTTCCTCATAAGCATGCCGAATTGTGAGATGCCCGTAGAAAACGTCGAGGGGCCGGTTGTTAAAGGGAGCAACTTTTGGGTCGTTGGATTGAGGTCTCTTTATTTCGCGACGAATTTGTTATTTTGGATTTTTGGGCCGATCCCGATGTTTGTTTGCTCAGTGGTCTCGGTCGTGGTTCTACAGTTTTTGGATCGGAACGCGACCCCACTGCCTCGGTTTGGTGATAGGTCAGTCATGAGGTATGAGGAATTCGAGAAGTTTGGCAAGGAAGTGGGTGAAGATGTTGGGAATGTCGAGCATTACCGTGAGGAATCGATGACTAGTCCAAATGGGGCTTCGATCTTCCAGAAACAATGAGGGTCGCGTTTCGAAGGAAGTATGAATGAATCATCCCCTTGTAGATGTAATCTTTTGATATTCTATAGTTTGTAATGCTATAATGAAGCCACAAGGTGAACTTACTTCGCGCCATTATTAGTTACGGTACGACAAAAACAAAATATTTTCGCAAAATGTGCGAAATCATAGTAGTCTCTGCTCCTTTCGTGCGTGGGCTCCCGTTCGCTTGAATTATCAAGGGAAGCAAACGTTAGATTGTAGCAATATACTATTCGAACCACCAATCACGTATAATAAACAAACACGCGTTTGATTTAAACCATCTAATCCATCACCCCAACTAAACTAGCCCTAAGAAACAATGCCCGTCATGAGAAATATAGCAAGTAACTTTACCAATTAACCAAAGACTGTGTGCTGCATTTATAGCTACACAACATTATACCACAATATGATCATTATTCACGCAATATAGAAAGTTCAAATGTACAAATATTACAAATCAGAGTTCCTTAGTGATCAAATCACTTGTTATTTCTAAAGTCAATTTCAACAACGTAACACATAAAGTAGTAAACAAACTATGCTATACCTAAAGGTTAGCATCGTGTAGAGTACGTACTTCCCATCCCATATTCCACTTTATATTATACACATGTCATTCATTCAGTTTAACAGACAATGTTGGACATAATCGTGGAATAGGAATAATCAGCTTTCCTGACGAGCGTTTGAAGCCACGGCTCGAGCCCAGAACTTGATTTGAGCCTTGATGTCCTCTGCCGACTTATTACCGTTTGGAGGAGCCGAAGATTGACCATTAGACGACTCCGGATCTAAACGCAAGTCCTTGAAACCTTGGAGTTCATTGTATAACTCGAGATCATTCATACTCTTTTGTGTCTTGAGTTGATTCATTACGCGTTGAGCTCTGATGATCTTGCCAGACGTGCCCTCGAGTTTACTTAGGTCCGTCTTCATTATTGATCCATGCCTTGATATGCTAGAGTTTGGAGCTAATTTCTGTTTAAATAAATATGAACTCATTCAAGGACTAGCAGAAACTAATCAGTATCTTTTGGACGGTGACAAAATTATCACCTTAACTTTACTAAGCGCAATGAATACCTAGTAACTGGTGCTGTTAAATTAAACGAGTCTAGCTCGACTCGGCTCGTTAAGGCTCGAAATTGACTCGAGCTCAAAGCCTTAAGGAGCCAAGCTCGAGCTCATTTAAAGCTCGTTTGGTAGCTCGGCTCGATAAGAGATTTTTTATATAATTTTCTATAGTTCGGTTCGTTAAAGCTCGAGATCAGCTCGTTAAGCTTTAAACTCGACTCGTTAACAGTGAAAAACAAGCCGAGCTCAAGCTCGATTTCTGGCTTGTTTATTTAACGAGCCGAGCTCGAGCACTCTAAGCTAGCTCAACTAAGCTCTCGTTTGCAAGCCTACTAGTAACTAACAAAATTATCTAATTATAACTCAAAAACTGGTTGGACTTGCCGCAAACCTCGACGGAAAGTGCACAACCAGTACAATTAGGCTCATGTAGAAATCGAAGATTGTATTAAACAGTACATGGAAGAAAAAAGAATGTAAAATGTATTAATAGTGCATTTTGTTAACTAAATACAAGTTTCGTTTTCCTCGTATAGTTGTATACCAATTATATTTATACCTTTAATTACTTTCTCCAAACTTTTAACGAACACTACTAAAGCGTACCTTGACATGTCTTCTTGGGGGAAAGCTTTCCGAATTGGTCAGTGAAGCTTGTCTGATCAGCTTCCCCATTGAAAAATCACTCTCCTCGTCTTGAACCTCTTCGTTTTTCTGGTCAACTTTCGCTTTCGGTAACGGACATTTTCCT